CTTATTATACGTTTCAGGCCCATTTTGACTAGCAAATGGGTCCAAATAGGACACTAGTTCTCTCTTGCCTCAGCTAATTCAAGTAGATTTATCTGTTCTCCGTGCTGAGGGTCAACCTGCTTTCATCTGTGAAAAGAACAGGTTGTCAGAATGTCCATCACTGGCAATCTATGGCAGATGCCACTCGGACGTGACGATGGATAACCACCCTAATGAAGTCAGTTTCTGATTGTTTGATGAGAAAGATTCACTGCCTCTCTTCCTTACTCCCACTCATCTCTGCTATCATCCACTCTTCACTCACCACCGGTATCGTTTCCTCCTTATTCAAGATTGCTTCTGTCACTCCCATACTGAACAAACCTTCTTTAGACCCTAACAACTTTAACAACCTAAGTCTGATTTCTAATCTAATAAGTAGTTGCAGTTCAACTTCATTCACACTTGGTTAATATATAACATCTACGAGAGATTTTAATCTGGTTTTCGTTCATGTCACAGTACAGAAACTGCTTTACTTAAAGTCACTAATAATCTTCTAATCGGAGCTGACTCTGGTCATTTTCATACTTTTAGACCTGAGCTCAGCCTTCGACACCATCTTTCACTCACTTTCAGACTTTCCTCTCTCGGCATCTCTGACACACAGATATGATTGAACCCCTGGTTTCAATCATATCTCCTTGACCGCTCCCGCTGAAATCATTCTGCTCTCGTCTATTCCCAGTCACTTCTGGTGTACCCTAAGGCTCAGTCTTAGGCCCTCTTCTCTTCATAATATACATCCTCCCTCTAGGTACCATTTTCCGCAAATTTGATCTTCACTTTCACTGTTTTGCTGATGACACCCAGTTACATCTCTCCTGCAGATCTGATTCCTCCCTCCCACCTTCTTCCCTTACAGAATGTCTATCCGAATTAAAATCCTAGTTTACCTCTAATTTTCTAAAGCTCAATGAGGATAAAATTGAAATCCTCCTTATTGGCACCAAATCCAACCTTTTTGAAGGTGAACCATTTCTCACTCACTATCGATAACTGCACAGTTTTCCCTTCTTCTCAGGTTAAGAGCCTTGGTGTCA